AATGAAAAACATATATTGCTAACATTGATTGAAATCCTTAGGCTATACAAATAGATAATAGGTGCTCAGCTGCTAAGTTAAAGGTTAGTGGTTCAAGTTCACCCAGAGGCACCTCAGAAAAAAGGTCTAGTAGTCTACTTTTTTTTAAATAAAAAAAATATTTTTTTTTACTTATTTTAATGAAAGTATACAGAGACATTGGATTTCCATTCATTCATTGTTGCACTTTTCTCCCTGCCCAACCTCCCCTACTTCCCCAGTTCCCTCTTCTCTTTGAAAAGTAAAAGAAAAATTTTTTCACTGTTATACAGTCCCTGCCCCCAAGTATACTCCACTGTGCAGCCTTCATTCTGGACTCCTGTCATGACAATAATACCTAATCATAGGAGGGAGAGAATATTTTAAAAGTAATATATTTTAGGGCATTATGATTATCATAAGAGTCTAGAATGAGGGTTGCAGAACGGAGTATACTCGGGGTGAGGGGTGCGGGGGGATTGTATACCAATGAAGTCGTTTTCTTTTGCTTTTCAAGAAGAAGAGAGAACTGGGGGTGGCGGGGGGCAGGGAGAAAAGTGCAATAATGAATGAATGGAAATCCAAAATCTCTGTAGATGTTCATTGAAATTAATTTTAAAAGAAATAAATAAAAGAGTACCATGACTTAATGATGAGTTGGGTTTTTTTAAACAGTATTGGGAGAGCCAGTCATTGATAAAATATTAGCCTTCTCAACAAAAGGTGTTGGAAACATAGATATCCATGTATTAATCTGGACCCTGGTCCAATTAATAGTTAATTAATATAAAAATTAATTAGAAAAACAATGATAATCAGTATTCATCAAAGGGCTAAAATAACCCTTCAGAGGATATATAAATGAAAATCTGTGTGACCTTGCATTAGTCACAAAAGAAAAAAAAATCGGCTTCTGGTCTTTCGGCTTTCGGCTAGGAGAAGGCCTCGGTGCAACTTTCTTCGGTCGTCCCGCATCTGGGTTCGTCCGACACCAGCCGCCGCCACCATGCCGCCCAAGTTCGACCCCAACGAGATTAAAGTCGTGTACCTGAGGTGTACCGGTGGGGAAGTCGGTGCCACTTCCGCTCTGGCC